TTTTTCAACAACAATGACAACCTTCAAATTATTATTACATAATATTAGGTCAAGTAAAAAGTTCGTTCGGTTTTTATTTAAGAGATGGCGTTATTGTCCATAGTACTAGTGTTACGTGGCGCATCATGTCATACTATACGGCGAAAACGTGTTTATTCGCGCTAAAAGTTTGTCCTTGACAGTTTTTCGATTGATTTACTCAGTACGTTGTGAGCGCTCGTCAAAGATGGACACTAGCAAAAAGAAAATTCGCTATATTTTACAATTTTTCTTCGATCAAGGCGAAAAAGCAGCCAAAGCGGCTGAAAAAATTTATTTAGTTTATGGGTCCGATACTGTAAACGAACGTGAAGCACAAAAGTGATTTGCTAGGTTCCGTTCCGGTAATTTCGATGTCAAAGATGCACCACGCGTCGGGAGGCCTGTCGTCGAAAATTGCGATAAAATCATGGAAAAAGTGGAAACAGACCGTCACGTGAGCACTTATTTAATTGCTGAGGAAATAAAGATGAGCCAAAAAACCATTTGGAACCATTTGCATAACCTTGGATTCAAAAAGAAGCTCGATGTTTGGGTGCCACACGAACGAACGCAAAAAACATGATGGACCGAATCGCTGCTGAATCGCAACAAAATCGAATCTGAAGCGGATTGTGACTGGCGATGAAAAATGGGTCACTTACGACAATATCGAGCGCAAACGGTCGTGGTCAAAGCTCGGGGAAGCGGCCCAGACGTTGGCCAAGACCGGATTGACGGTCAGGAAGGTTTTGCTCCGTGTTTGGTGGGATTCGCAAGAAATCATTTACTACAAGCTGCTCCCCTATGGCCAAACGCTCAATTGAGCCCTCTACTGCCAACAACTAGACCGCTTGAAGGCAGCACTCATCCAGAAGAGGCCATCTATGATCAACAGCGGCCGAATTGTGTTCCATCAGAACAATGCCAGGCCACACACGTCTTTGGTGACGCGCCAGAAGCTCCGGGAGTTCGGATGAGAGGTCCTAATGCACCCACCTTATAGTCCGGACCTGGCACCAAGTGATTACCATATTTTCCTGTCCATGGCGAACCCGCTTAATGGTGAGAAGTTGGCCTCAAGAGAGGCCTGTGAAAATTGGCTCTCCGAGTTTTTTGCCAATAGGGACGCAGCCTTCTACGAGAGGGGTATAATGAGGTTGGCAGCTCGTTGGCAACAAGTTTACGAACAAAACGGCGCATATTTGACTTAAATCGGACAAATGTACACAAAGTTATCATCTTTTGAAAAATCATTAAAAAAACCGAACGAACTTTTTACTTTACCTAATATTATTTTATTTATGTTGTTAACTCAAATATGCAGTGAGTACTTCTTTGGGCGCATCAAAGTGATTTTTCAAAGTCGCGTAACGACACTTTCTGCTCTTTGCTGTGAGCAGCCATGTGTGTTTGTAGCCATAAACACATTGTAGCAATGCATTTGTTGTTGTTTTGCACTCACTCTCCGACATACATACTTATGTTCATTTTGATACGTACGCACATGCATATCTCACTTTGGAGTCATTCGGTTCTCAAACGCTGAACTACTAGACGACGACAAGCGACAGGCAGCTTCTGTCAAATATTATCATACACACGTTCTTATGGGCACAGTTATTTAGACAGCAGCAGGACTTCAAGGCTGCAGACTTGCTGACGACGGGTGTATGAATTAGCCCCCACTGAATTAACCCCCACCGGGCAAAATGACTTAAGCCCCACCAATTTTACAACAAAATTAAAAATGGCGGAAAGTGGGGCTAATGTCATTTTCGTGGGGATTAATTCTTTTTTTTTTAGTGGGGATTCTGTCATGTAAGAACCCCCACGTTTGGTGGGGCTTAATTCATTTTAATTCCGTGATCTTTTATAAAAATAAAACAAACAGTTAGCAACGTAAAAATATAATACTTTTCAAATTTTATTTAATTTTTTTGCGTTCTTTCTCCATATTTTCGTAAGTCTCCGTTACAAAAAACTATTTGATTAAGTATAACATTATAGCTATAGTACTTGTGAGCGTTTGGAGAATTTTCAAGCCATAAGAGTAAATCTGATATTTTTTTGTAGTGAGTTTTTGTGAACGGTATCCATCGTATTAGTTGAAAGAGTTGCGACTCGCTGATTCCATTAACGAAAGCAAAAACACAAACTATTAATTGCGCCTTATAACTTTTTTTTCCAAAAAAAGAATCAATTATAAATCCAGGAACATGAGAAAAGTTTATAGTATCGCTTTTATTTAGTAAGATCTTCCTTGCGTTTATACGATTATTCTCTATTTGTTTCAATTTTTCTATATTCATTTTTATGCAGAATACGCAGAACTGTTTTTAATAATCACTCTATTAAGATTGAATTGTCAAAGATTTTTCCTTTTACGAAAAGTTAAAATCACTAATATTGCACATTTCGTAAAAGGAGAAACCATAATTTTGTAAATAATCATATAATAAAAATCCATCTCTTACAGCTATTTTTTCATGGGATAGTGAATTTCCTGCTGGGGGTTTTTTTGCATTCAATAATAGAGCGTAAACTAACTGTTAAACCGGTTTTGCATTCAATTGTCGAATAACTATGTTATCACATTACATTATATTATGCAAATTTAGTTGTTATGAAATCTTGAAGCGAATAACGCGACGTGATAAAAATATGACTTTAAACTATGAACACGTGGTTGGAAAAAGAATAAATAGCAAATTGTTATATGTTACAGAGGAAAAGCAATTATATTCCAAAAAACTATTAAAAAAGAAAAATATTTTTATGCTTGTTACGTGAAAACATGCAAAGCGAGGGTGTTTTTGAATAGTGAGGTGTGTTATAAGGTTAAAGATTTCATTAATCATAATCATGAAACTCAGGAGGATACGTACAGAGAACTTAAGATTATGAATAATATGAAGACATCCTGTATGGGAATACATCAAGATTCCACTGAACCGAGCGTTCTTGGAAGCATACGAAAAATATTTCAAAGTACTTGCGTTGAGTAGGTTCATTCTTATTTTTATTATTTATTTAAATTAATCACCTCATAATGTCATTATTTCAGATACCCGGTGGAAACAAAAGATATTGATTTTTATAAAATCCAACGAAATTACCAAAAACTGGCAAATAAGCAATTTCTAATTTCTCCTAAAACACCAGCTGATGTTCAAGATGAAGTAACTTTGAAAAAATTTGGGTATACAAAACATACCGGCGATGATGCCTCAACATTTTTTAAGATATGCTGTGATGCAAAAGACTTTGCCTATTGTTTGTTTTGTTCTGACAAAATAATATATCTAATGAAAGAAAATATTCCTTCAAATGTAGAGAGAAAAATACTGGTTGATGCAACATTTTCTGTTTTACCTATTGGTAGCTTCAAACAGCTTTTAATTATTCATATTGAATATTTTGAAACGGTATGTTGATAATAATATTCAATTTGATAAATTATAAATATTTTTTTTTGTTTTCCTCAGGTGTTTCCTGCTATATTTGTTCTTATGAACAAGAAAACAAAAAAAAGTTACGAACATGTGGTTAACTATATTAATACTAATGTGGTAAAATTAGACGGAGCGGTGTTTATGGCGGATTTTGAAATTGGATTGCGTAGTGCTATAAAAAAAATATTTGAATATTCTAAGCTATTCGGGTGCTGGTTTCACTATTGTCAAGCAGTACGAAGAAATATTGCTACAAAACACAAGAATCTGGCGGAATTTATTAGGCAAAACCGAAAAGCATCTATATCTTACCACAAAATATTGTCACTCCCATTATTACCGGAGACACACATTGTTAATTGCTTTTCCATCATCAAAGAAGAAATTGCCACTTTCGACCACTTGTTTAAATTTGAATCTTTTTTAAAATACTTTGAAGAGCAATGGCTAAAAAAAGTAAGTTGTTTTAAATCGCAAAAGTAGGGAATTAGAATTGGTTATCAACAGCGGTGGTGCTTTAGGGAAATCAAAAAGAAAAACAAAGGAAAACGTTATGAGAGCAAATCTAATTGCTAAAGCGGAGACGGACCTGCTTAATGGACTCATAACCGCTACGAGTTTGTTGGATATAATGGTCTTCTCTAGAAACAAAATAGTAACTGATATGGAGCCTTTTGAAGACATATTCGAAGGTTTAGAATATATGGAAGAAGAATCTGAAGTCGAAGAAGAATCCAATGCCACGGAAGAAGGTGCAGCAAATCCTCCACTGATATGCATAATTTGTTTGAAAAACAAACCTAATATTTTGCTTTTGCCATGCAAACATTTAAAATTGTGCAGTGACTGCACATCTAAAATAGAAGCAGAGAGTGCGGCAAACAATTTTAATAAATTTAAATGCCCTTTTTGTCGTCAAGATGTTGACGAATATTTACATATTTTTATTTAATTATTTTCTTTTTCTCACATTTTCATATTTTCATTTAATTCTTTACCATTTTCTTATTAAATATTACATACATATGTATAATTGAATTTTTGTTAAAATTTTGATTTAAAAACTTGAAGTTTAAAGCAAGCAAAATAAATTAAAAATGAAGTAAAGTGGTGCTAAAGTCATTTTCGTGGGGAGTAATTCCTTTATATTTTGTGGGGATTCTGTCATGTAAGTACACCCACGTTTGGTGGGGCTTAATTCATTTCGATTGGTGGGGATAAAATCATTTTCGTGGGGTTTAAAGCATTTTTTTTCGTGGGGATTCCGTCATTTTTGGTGGGGAAAGATTCACTGAGAAATTGGTGGGGCTTAAGTCATTTTGCCTGGTGGGGGTTTATTCATACACCCGCCGACGACAAGGGGCAGCTGTAGTGTTGCCACTAATATGTGAAATGTAAAATTATTCAAAGCTCTAACAAGTCCAACGTTATCTTACCAACATAAGCACAAAATAGCATTGATATATAGATATTATATGCTTACAAGCAGTTATAGATGCCCATGGTGAGACAACAAAATATTAAGCTTCAAATTTTAGTGCCTTATTGAAGTTTTTTATATTAAAATGCTAGTCGTACGTTGGCTTTTGTCAATCATACTTTATAGTTTTTTATGAACAGTTTTTTATAATTATCATGGAATCCTTTTTTTTATAATTTCTTATACAACAAAACTGCATCATTACTTTCTCCCTATAATTTTTTCATTCAGCAAGACATCAAACATATGGGTCGTACGTAGATTTTTGTCGCCCACTGTATGTATCATTTGTAATAACAATTGATAATTTAAAACAAATATTTCTTGCCCAATTTCACTTTGAACAAAATATTTAAATTTCATTGAAGTGAAAGGTTTTAGTACGGCAACAACGAAATTGTGTACATCGCTGTCGCTGCCATCTGTAAAATGTTCAAGAAGTTGACTTTAAGACGACATTTGCCGACAAAAAAATTTCGTTGTCGTACAGTCGTCTTGATTTTTCAAAACTGATATATTTTATACTAATAAGTTTAAATAAATACAATATTCGCAATTATTTCGTTATATTGTATTCTTCATTCTTGTCTTCGAACGTGTGTACATACTTTTAAAGAGGCCGCTGCACATACTTATTTATTATTTTCTCTTACAGTGGCGGAATACGTGCCTGCGTACGTGAGAGTGATAGACACACTACGTGAACGGAGCATACAAACACGCATTCTATACTAATTGTAATTAATTTTCATTGATCGAACTATTATTCTGCAGATTTCGCAATGCCTAAACTCTCCCAAGGAGAACTCCAGAGACACAAGCTCGAGAAAATCTGCTACGTGTTAAGAAAACAGCTAAATCAAGAGCGGACTGTAATCGAGAATACAGACTACGAAAAAAAGCTTGGAGAGTTGCTCTAAACCAACACCTGATTGCATGTATGCATGCTCTTCAACCAACGACAATGTACATATGTATGTATTATGAAAGACGAACCATCGCAGCAAAATGCAATCGCAAATGAAGATATTAAAATGGGCAATAGTCGCCTTCAATATCGCGAATATTTTCATAGTCGAGATAGTATGTACTTATAATATACAAAATGATAATATCGTCGATTTATTATTATTCAAGCTGATCACCAAGAGTCATATTTGCCCTCACAACATGTCGTTGAAAATACATAACTTTACTGAGTAGTACCAGTTCATTTAAGTTCTCTGGTTAAACTACATTCCTTTTATTTAAATCTCTGTGTGAAAAAAATACAGATTCGATCAGGTAATCTCGGCTGTGTCACACAGATAGAAAAACAGCTGATTCTTTGGTTACTTGTAGGCTTGTACAATGTGGTAGACTGACTTTATTGTCGCTTTGACCTATCGTAAGCGCTCGTTTTACGCTCTTCGTTTGTGCATGTAATGCTGGAAACAGTCACCGAGGAAAAACCGTAGACCGAATCAGCTGATACGACCTAACTTATGAGAGCCCAATGTAAATGAACACTTACCACCGTAGGTAATTAAAAAATAAACTTGGCTATATTTGAAATATAACTAACTCAAAATCTCAGTGGAATACATTTATTTTTAATAGGTAGACAATTTTAAGAGTTGTATTTTATTATTAAGCTTTTACATTATGAAAAATTATAACTAAGAATCCTAATGTGTGCAACATCATATACACAAATTAAACAATGACAACATTGGTGAAATGAAAACAAAAAAGAACAACTGATTTCTAGCTTTTGACAAATTTTGTTTAATACGGACGGAAAGTACGCAAAGGCTGCTTGTCAGTGACTGCACATGCTAAGATTTTTCTCATCCTTGATTATAATGAATGCGATACTTTAAACATTAACACTCCACATTTTCATATGTGTGCAATAAATTCCACTGCACATACAATGAGTTTGACTGATTTTAGCGATATCAGGTTGAGTAAATGTAAAACATAAAAAGAGATCAATATACATATCTCCTAACGAAGAGTTCGTTGGTTATGTACAATCATGGTTGTGCTGCTCTCCTTGGCAGGAATGATGATCACATACCATTGATTCACTATGGTGACTTTAGTGTAAGGGATGCGTTCTCACTACTACTTCAGTTTTTTCGTCAAAAATTCGGTTTAGATATAAATAACGACCGGAAAATTTCCACGACTAAATCATGAACAAGGATTGACGCTCTATTCTCCAGAAATCTATACTATTGACAATCACGAACATATAATATGTATGGTTCATACTCCATTTACCATGAAAAGTAATATCCGTTATACCTATACCTGCTCGGACTGAAGATAATGTACAAATTGAAGACATAAGTTAAATTTGTATACATCTTATTATTTCAATTATCTCTATAATATGTACAATACAACTCTCTCTCTCACTCTCAATCTCAAATAATGTGTTAAGAAGTTTTCACTTCTATCACGTGTACTGTGCTCCATTTTCCATATTTTCTTAGTTTTTAAATGTTAAGGAGACAAATGAGCAGCAATTGATTTTCATATACGTCATATGTATATACATATATAGAATATACGGCGGGATTCGACGGGACGAATATAAGTTTGTATATGAAAATAAAACTTTTTTAATACTTTTCTGGAAATTTTCCCACATTTTCTCACCGTTTAAACCTTTCTTGGGCATCAACGAATATTTCAAGACTAAAATTAGCCAAATCGGTTCAGCCGTTCTCGAGTTTTGGGAGACTAATTGCCGTCTTAAATAAAAGCGACAGCGGCAAATTATTGTCAAAAATTCCCCATGCCCCTAGATTTTGTTTGGTATATATGTATTAAACAGCTGCGCGAATGTATTCGTTTTTGTAATCATTCTCTTTACTCTCAAAACATGTACAATATTTGCAAATTATATTTATAAGAGTTGAGAGCTAATACATTTGTTCTTTTGATTAAGTATTGAAAATTCAAACATCTTTTTCTTAATATATAAAATTATAAAATCACAAAAAATGGTTTAAATAGTTTCTGCATATGTTTAACGGATACATGTATTATAATATTTAATCTTAATAAATGTTAGGTATTTTAATTTATATTCGCAAAAATTATTGTTTTGTCCGATCTGGCTACAATGGAAAATATTATAAAATAATTTTGAGGCGCTCTTATACTGAAAAGAGTTGGGCATCCCATTATCCCTGAGTAAAATATATATTTGACGAATGGAATGCGTGATATCAACGGAGTATTCTTTATTCTCATGTCATTACTCTATGGTTTTGTTTTTTTCAACTACAAATAAGCGAGTGCTTGAGAACACTCCATGACAAGCGCTGCTATGAATGAAAGAAAAGAATATTGCGACGATTGTGCAAATTAACTTCCTCCTATGTGGAAGTATTAAAAAATATATTTTCTGCGCAACGCACGGAAGAAATCAAACGATTGGGTTGAGTGGTCCTGATCATTGTATAAATCTACAGGTAGCCAATCCTAAGATTTTCACTAATACACATTCAAAAATATCCCACTTGGTACGGGTTGCCTCGAAAATTCTACTACTAAAATCACACTTGGTACGGGTTGCCAACCAATATTCTGCTACTAAAGTCACACTTTGTACGGGTTGCCAACCATTATTCTGCTACTAAAACGTCCAAATGACAGAAATCTGGTATAATGTGTTGCCGTGTTATGTTTTAAAATTTATAACTTTAAGAATGTTTTTATTACATATTCAAATATTTTTCGGTTGTTTTAATTCCTAAAGATTAAATTTACATTTTATTATTTAAATTAATATTTATTGTGTTGAAATATTATTAAATGTTTCCAATTTTATCAAATATAATAATTATTTTATAATTGAATTGTACCTGATTTTTATATATTTATTTTCGTTTTTGTTTAAATCAAGTTGAATATTTCAACTTATATTGTTAATGTTATTATTATTCATGAACCTGATTCATGTACCTGATTTTATGTATATATCTTTTCGAGTTATAATTGTTATGAAAAGTAGATTGTTTTAGAACTGTATATATTATATGGGTGAATATAGGCCTCCTGGGGAACCGAACACCCAAAAGAGATCGGTAACGCGCCTATATTGCAACCTCAAAAGTGGTGAGGTAAAGCAATAGATATATAATAATCTTTTGTTTCGAAAATTTTCTTGAAAGTTTATTAGTAAAGATTATTTTCATTACAAATACATGTTCATAAGCAAATTGTTAAACTACATCCTTTTATTTAAAACTCTGTGTCAAAAAAAGGCATATTCGATCAGGTGATCACGGCTGTTTCACACACATAGGAAAACAGCTGATTCTTTCGCTACTTGTAAGCTTATACAATGGTCCTGATGGAAGACTGAATCTCTTTATTTCAATTTTCTCTTATATAATATATACATTTTTCTTATATGCTTAAGTCTTACAATAAGTGTCAATTTACAATATTCGCTTATTCAGCAATTAGTTTTATTGTTTACATTGTATGGGTGGTCTTAGCTTAATAAAAAGAGTATTGGTTGCTTAAATAAGCAAAGATGCTTATTTAAGAAGCTGTGGTCTTAGCTTTATTGAAAATAGTATTAATTACTTAAATAAGCAAAGATGCTTATTAAGAAGTTTTATTATTGCTGAGTGCAAAGAAATAGTTTTGTTTATAATGATCGTAAAGATACTTTGTGGAGGCTGGCGTTAACTCGCCCCTCTCAATATCATTTTTGATAAGTTATTTATTTTATTCAAAATAGCGTTATATGATATTTTTGAGATTCTAAATTTCTAATTATTTTGAATTTTTATAAGATTCTTTAATTTTACAATCCTATAAATTATGTAACATTATTAACAAAATTATAAGTATGTACCATAAAAATGAATGATGTTTAAAACTTCCATTCGTTCAGCTAAAATATTTATGTTTTCAAAGTTCATTTCTTTATTTTTGTTTCAATATATTCTATAATTTCAAAGTATTAATATGATTGTTTTTTAAATATTTGCAAATTTTACAATCGACATTTTTATATATAACATTATTAATATTTGTATAATTTTCAAAAGTAACAAAGTAAATTCCATTTATAGCATAGCCATCAACTGTGTTATTTCCGGAGACTAATATTGCTCCTTCTTTAATTACATCTATTTCTTAATTTTTTTCTTTTATTTTTTTACATTTACCTTTTTTTCTGGACAAAATATCTGATAGGCAAGTATTTGTATTATTAATTTTACAATACGTGTTTATCATGTCTTTTTTACAACTTTTATATTAATATTATATATTCTTTTTGCATTCGCAATTTCTTTGTCAATTACTAATTTACCGTCTTCTTGTGTGATTGCTCTTACTTCATAATATTTACAATCATTTATAATTTTAGGATACTTAATATATAAAACAATTACATCATTATTTTGTAATATCTTAAAGTTAGAAATGTCCATTAAATCAGTTATAGTCAATCGTCCGTGTTCATTTTGTATTGTATTTTTTATCTCATCTAAATGTAAAATTGCAGGGTTTAAAATTCCTATTTTTGCCATAGCTATCGTATGAACCATATTTTGTAGTTCAGTTATTAAAATTGATATTTCCTTTTCGTTAAAATTTTAACATGTAAATTTTCGTTTACATTTTTAATTGTTTTTGTTAATTTAGTGATTATTTTAAAAATTTCAGAGTTTGTTGTGTATTGTTTATTGTTATTTTCAATTAGTTCGTTTAACTTATTATTTATTAACACTAAATCGTCATGATCTGGTGTTCCTGCTATCCACTTCCATAGTGTCCCTAATTCATTTATCCCTCTCTTATATCTTGTATCTTTGTTTGTATTTGCCCTAATAAAGTTTCGATAATTTCAATTTCTGATTCTGTATTTAAATCATTAAATATGCTACCTCATTTTCATTATTCCATGTAAATTATTATATCTGTATTTTTTATTACTATAACTTTTGTCTGAATTTATAAGTTCTCTAAAATAAGTTAAATTAGTAATGTGAAAAATGTCGCCATAGTCATTGTATAAAGCTACGTCTCCGTCCTCTAATAACACATAATTTTCTCTTGTATAGTCCACAATGTCCGTTATGTTTGAACAATTAATATTAGAAATATTAAGGGTATCATTTTCTGAAAATATATATTCAAGATTTAATATTATCTTTATGTACTATTCTATTTCTGTAGTTAATTTTAACCTTATTCCATAAATCTTCTTTTATTACTTGTTTCTTGTATCTAGGATTTAGCTTATTCTTTCCCCTTTTCATATATA